AAAAAATAATTAAAATAAAAAAATTAAATAAAAAATAGTAAAAAATAAAAAAAAAATCCTGGCGGCAGGGCGCTGGGTGACATCACACCCCTGTTGGGGGGGGCAGGCTTTTTTTCAAGCCTCGTGCGCAAAAGGATCTGGCCATGGCTATGCTCCGGCGGTGCTCGTGCGGCTGCCGGCTGAATGTGTCAGACGCTGCATATGGAAAGGGGCAGGACACCATGTGCAACTTCGGCCACACAAGCACCACGTGAGGACAGGACGCCGGGGCCTCTGCGACGCACTGGAATGTAAGCCGGCCGACTCCCTGTGTTCAGGGGCGGGAGGGGGTGTGGGGTTGATCAATGCACCGCCACGCCCCCTCCCGCCCCTGAATGCAGGTGTTTTTTCATTGGTAGATCTCATTGAGGTTGTCGTTTGAAACGTAGATCTCCAGACGAAAAATTGTGGGCGCCCCTGCCCTAGTGCGTCCTCTTCCAGCAATGACAGGTTCTGGCTCCAGTCACCACTCTGTCCACTGCTACTGCCATCTTCCTTGCCGGTTCTTCCAAATCCCGCAATGATCCTCTTTGGGTATTGAGCAACCACTGAAACCCCAAATAGGTGCTAGCATGCAGTCCTGCAGTTGTCAGCTGGTTATGCTGACACCTATCTAGGGTGCACCTATTTTAGGAGTTGCATATGTAGCTAGCACTGTTGAACAGCCATTTATGCTGATAATTATTCGATTTTGGGCTATCATCCCCTCCTATCACAGATGGTTTGGGCATGCTGCTAATTTCTAAGCCCTGAAAAAGGGTACATTTGAGACCTCTAAAACACATTGGAGTGCTTCTCTTGAAGAATTAATAAATAAAAAGGAATAAGAAAGATTTTAATACTTTTAACGACTGATTTCTTGTGTTTGGCACTTCCTCATTCCAACTTTTTAAAGGTCATGAAAATTTTTAACGTGTTTTTGTAAACGGCCTAGATTTAAAGGAGAACTATGAGGCGAGTGAAAAAGTTCCACCCCTCCCCGCTCCGATCCTCCAGCGCTGACTGGAGGAACGGACGCGTGAGGGGGCGGGCACAGCTGGCTCTGCCTCTAGATAGGCAGAGCCAGCGGTCATTCACCCAGCTGGGTGGATCTCGACAGCATTGTAGGGATCCGTCCCGGCTGCGGCGGTTTCAGTATACCGCAAGCTGTAGCTCGCAATATACTGAGCTTTGGGTCACGGAAGGACACTAGTATATGTCCTCCTATGACCCTTGAGAAACACTTACCCCATAGTTCTCTTTTAAGCATAAGGTCCTCTCTAAAAGCAATCAACTATGTATAGCACTATTCCCAACTTAATCCAGTACCACTTAATCACAACAACATAAAATTTGATAAAATGAGACCTCATTATAGAGACCGCAGCAAGTGGGTGGAGCTGGGAACTCAAGAACACATAATTTCCCCAAGTTACATACGAACAAGGCAGGCTGTTGCTGATGGACTGAGCCTAACCTACTACATCTAACAATAAAAATGATTGTAATTAGCATAACAGCAGACTGATACAAAGAAAAATAAAGATTTGTGCTTGAAATCATTACAAAAAAGAATGTTAGTATAAAAAAAACAAAGGTCTGCTTTAAGTAGGGCATATTTTCTCTTCAAGGAGCATTATGTTATATGCCTGTCTCTTTCTAATATATCCCCTTTACCCAGATGTCCTATCAATTTAAATGTGTTTACTATTTTGGGAGCCGGTACTGGAAATCAATGTTGCAGTCTAGTTTGCAGCAATCTGATACATTTGAGTTGAAAGCAAAGGACACACTTTACTCTGAGTCTCGCCAATATCTTTCTCATCAGAGGGAGGTTTCAGAGAGCTAACTTTGTTTGCTAATCTTTTAATCTTTTAGTTTATTAAAAATAGCTCCAAGTCTAGCAAAAGGAAACCAAACCAGGAACCAAAATGTAAGGGAAGTAAATTCTTGAAAATAGGTACAAAAGGGTGCCTGGTTGTCCCTGATATGTAACAAAAATCCAGTTATGTCAGTTAGGCTGCAGTCTTTAGAAATACAGGTCTGAGGAAAGCTGGCACACTTTCTACCCCTGTCACCAGAGCTGAGCATTGTGGGAGGGGGGGGGGGGGGGGGGAGGGGGTTACTTGGTGTATATACAATATAATATAAAGCACAGGCAGAAAAATGTTTTCTTTACAAAACAGGTAAGATAAAAATCCCTAATACTTTCTGTTGTCCAATACGTAATTCTTTTGCTTCCAATATACACTCACAGGCCACTTTATTAGGTAAACCTTGCTAGTACTTGCTAGTTTTGGGTTGGACCCCCTTTTGTCTTCAGAACTGCCTTAATTCTTTGTGGCATAGATTCAACAAGCTGTTTGAATCATTCCTCAGAGATTTTGATCCATATTGACATGAAAGCATCACGGGCCCAAAGTGTGCCAAGAAAATATCCCCCACACCATTACACCACCACCACCAACAGCCTGAACCGTTGATACAAGGCAGGATGGATCCATGCTTTCATGTTGTTTACATCAAATTCTGACTTGACCATCCGAATGTCACAGCTGAAATCGAGACTCATCAGACCAGGCAACGTTTTTCCAATCTTCTATTGTCCACTTTTGGTGAGCCTGTGCGAATTGTAGCCTCGGTTTCCTGTTCTTAGCTGACAGGAGTGGCACCCGGGGTGGTCTTCTTTGACTGTAGCCCATCTACTTCAAGGTTTAATGTGTTGTGTGTTCAGAAATGGTATTCTGCATACCTTGGTTGTAATGAGTGTTTTTTTGAGTTACTGTTGTTGCCTTTCTATTATCTCGAGCCAGTCTGCCCATTCTCCTCTGACCTCTGACATCAACAAGGCGTTTTCGTCCACACAACTGCCGCTCGCTGGATAGTTTCTCTTTTTCGGACCATTCTCTGTAAACCCGAGAGATGGTGGTGCGTAGAAATCCCAGTAGATCAGCAGTTTTTGAAATACTCAGACCAGCCCATCTGGCACCAACAAGCATGCCACGTTCAAAGGTGGTCCAAAGCAATATCAGAGTGTGTGACTTTTTTTTGGACAGGCAGTGTATATATTCAGTACATCTTTGCAGAACATGGACATTTCCCCAAGTTTTGTCTCTTACTGAATGCTGCAAGTAAACAAATACTTGTAGATCTGCCAGAAATCCAATGAGCTCCTAACTTTCTGTAGTGAGCTGACAACTCTTCTCCACTTGCAAGCAGTGTTGTCAGCCCCTGCTAGACTGTACCTGGGACAAACAGTGATGGGAAATCCAAAGTGGGGGTGGAAACGTTTAACTCGGACACCCGTATTGGTTAATTTGTTAATTCCTCTTCATTTGGAGATGTTTACTCTAGCCCCTTTCAGGACAGAAATTGTAAAGACATCTCCCCAAAAGAAGACAGACATAAAGTGTATGACTCAGGATCCTTAGACCACCAGAAGTGGAGAGAAGCTGCAGTGACCAGCCTAGCAGCCGGGCGGGACCGAGGTTCAGGTGAGTATATCTTTTTTATTTTAAAACCTAGACCAAAAGGATCATTTAACCCCTAGGGTGCGGGGTAGCCCTACTGCTAGGGTTGTCTTATTTTGCTCTTTAAAGTAACCAAAACAAGAGGTGATCTTAAAGCTTCCAATTAGGGCACCTTTTTTCGGTAACAACTGCCTAAGAGACAAATTCTAGTTACTTTGCAGAAATTGTTTGGCACGTCCTGTTGAGTTTCAGGGACAGAAAATAATGGGACACAGAGTACACACACTCAGCGATCATTGATCATTGAGTGTGTGTACGTTGCTTTTCTCTCTGACACGCTGTCACAGGTGGCTGATCGAGCGGTGTAGAGAGGAAAGTCCAGCCTCCTGTGACAGCGCTGTCTCCACCCCCACACCGCTCTGCCGGACTGTGATAGGCGGCTGAGCGGTGTGGGAGGAGAGACGCCGGCCGCTCACAGCGCTCTCGTCCTGCAGCACTCGGCCGGCTGTCACTTTCTTTTCTCCCCGCTGGAACACAGAGCAGCGCACATCGGGGAGAAAAGAAAGCACGGATGCGCCGATGTATCGGCTGAAACATGGCTCTTTCGGCATTATGCCAAAAGTGCAATTTTCGGACGATATGTTTCGGCGGCCGATATATCGGTGCATCCCTAGTTTTAACCCTATTCATACAAAATGAAAAACAAATCTTTTGGCTATACATACATACATTTTAAGCATAATATGCCCTATATTTTTCAGTATTCAGCAGTGAGGCACTGTGACTGACTTTTATTCAGTCATTCAACGCTGTACCAAAATTAATTTTATACCATTTTTTGGGGAAAGATAGAGCTTTATTTTGGTTGTATTTAATCACCACTATTTTTTTTACAAATATTATATAAAGAAAGAAAAATCTGGATCAGCTGTGCATGGCAACCAATCAGCATCTAGCTTTCATTTTCAAATCTCAACTGAGCCAACTGAACAGAGATGCTGATTGGTTGCCATGGAGAAGGGGGCATGGCCCCGGAAACACGTGACTGTGCTGTCAGATAGGAACCATCATCTGTGCAGCTCTCACATGCTGTGTCTTGCTTTTTGTTAAGACTGAGAATCATCCTTTTATTTTGAAAGCTCATTGTTATCTACTCTTTTGTGAGTATTATTCAAGGGTTTACATACATTTTGAATCCCTCTATAAATACTGTATCTTTTATAGTTCCAAAAGTCTCTCCGGTTACTTTGTACCCAGAGCTGTGTGCTCCCCTTTCACCATCTTCTGTGCATTAGTCTAGTTTACTTCTATTATTAAAAGCAAATTCAGATCACAATTGACTTTTCATCTGTATAACAAGAGAGGAGATATTTACCCTGACAGCCATGTCATTGTAGAAATTCATCTTCATAATGAAGTAGGCTGTCTGTGGAAAGAAAAGAAAAGAGAAAAAAAATTATATATATATATAAGCAAGGGTGGCGTGGGTCCTGGTGACACAGAGGCACGTTTCCTATTTTTACATATGGTGAGATAAGAAAGTCTATACATAATACATAATACCTGTTTCACACGTATCAAACTTTTGTATTGCAAAGATGGGCTGGCTAATACATAATGCAGGCTTAACCAGAAAAATCTTTGACAGTCAGACCCGGCGCTAATGGAGATGTATGATCGTAAAATACTCTCCGCTGAATTTGATAATCAATGGGGCTCTACTTAGGATAAAATAACAGTGCGGGAATATTCACAAGTCTTGGTGACACGTACCACTGTATGATTTATACACCGAGGATTCTTATGCCCCAAAACTCGCAGAAACATAAAAGGAATTCATATTTCAAGACGTCTGCTTTAATGAAAAATTCAAAGATAGGCCTGTCTTCTGTCGGAATCCTTCAAGGAGACATACGCGGTGCTGAAGCCGAAATGAGCCATCCGACCATCTGTACAAAACGTTATGTACTTAGCCGCCATCCGAGTAATCCTTGGGAATTTTCTTTCATTTAATATTCATTTTAACATCATAAAATCATAAATAATTAGTGTTATTTGAATTGCCGAGTCTGATCCAAAGCAAATTGTCTGTGGCGAGCAGCAGGGCTGGATTATTTATCAACAGGCTGAGCAATTAAGAAACAGTTGGCTGCAATATGTTATTTACAAATGAAGACAATGATGCCGTCGCGTTTCTCGGCTCTCTATCTGTTATGGGCTACAGAGTTGTTCCTGGTGTTTAATTCAAGCGCAGTTTTTAAAAATCAAAATTACTGTTTCAATTTGTGGACAGGGAAAAAAAAAAAAAAGATTTAATATCTTTGTAAACTTCAACAGTGAACTTCACTTATTTGCCCCCATTTGTCTGTTGAATATACAGCTAAAGGACTTATGTTCTTTCTGTTCAACAAGTACAAAAAATACTTGTTGATCTTGCCAGAAATCTAATTCTCTCCTGTCACTTGGCAAACATAGAGTTGCCTTGTCGCACTCCCTACCAGAAAAACCTGATCAAATGAGGGGG